TGAAAGAAAAATTTCATTTACGATAATCATCCACACTGTAAAACAGGTGAGTGTAAGTCTAATAGACCTATACATAAAATAAAATACCTAAAATAAAATGAAAATATTAAGTGTAGATCATCTATTTACTATAGAAGGGAAAAAAATCAACATTGTAAAGATAATTCCACTCTTATTTACACATAAATTAAACAGGACCTTTTGTGAAATTTGATAAAACATTTTTAAAGAGAAAATATTAAAAAAAAAATAGACAAACCTGAAAAACTGAAGGGACAGGGAGAAGCTTGTACCAGGTATCGTATACAACATAGGTATGGTAGTAATAACAAAGTGTTATTGGCATTGTAATAAATAAACTTAGTGAATGGGAGAGAGTCTACAAATAGAGGCATGGGTATATGGGAATTTAGTATTTAGGACTTTAGCTATTGATAAAGGTATTTGTTCAATCAGTGTCAAAAGGACAGATAATTTGACAAATTGTACTAATTCAGCACAATTAGAATGTAATGAAGAATGCTTTTATAATTTTGTGGTAAAACTCCTTTCTACGCTATATACACAACTTGGAAGCCATAAGAAAAAAAATACAGATTTGACTACAGAAAAAAACCTATGATAGATGACGTAATGAACTACGTTACAAGTAAGTGATAGTCTAGGAGAAACTATTTGCCTCAAAAATAATGGGCAAAGGCTTAATTTCACAAAGAAGGCTTACAAATTAATAAGAAAAAGGCAACTCTAGAAAAATTGGTAAAGGGCTTGAAACAAATAGTTAAAAGAGAAGAAATATAAATAAATGAAATATTCAGCTTCACTAATCAGAGAAACACAATTTTTTAATTTATTACACTGGTAAAAATATAAATGTATTGATAATATCTCACATTAGGAAATGTGCTTTCATTTATTCCACAATATGTACCTGGTATGTGTCAAGCACTATACTAGGTTAGTATATACTAGGTTAGTAAGTTCCTGGTATGTACTGTGAATATCACTGAGTCGCGCTCCCGTTGCCCTCCCTCCATCTAGGCCCACTTCACTCATTTATATCACCGTCTGCACCATGCAGTCATTGGCATTTGTGCGTCAGCTGACAGGAGGTGAGAGAAGGAAAAACTGCCCCATTCACTCCCAGCAAGATATAAAGAACCAGGGAGATATTTGTCACTGGTATTTTTTCAGTGAGGGTACCTTTTAAATTATGACTAGCTTTAAAATCGGTAGTTTAACATTTTTATTAGTATGTTCTTTTTTTTTTGATGTGGACTATTTTTTTAAAAAATCTTTATTGAATTTGTTACAATATTGCTTTTGTTTTATGTTTTGGATTTTTTGGCCGCAAGGCATGTGGGATCTTAGCTCCCCAACTAAGGATTGAACCCATACCCCCTGCATTGGAAGGCAAAGTCTTAACCACTGGACCGCCAGGGGAAGTCCCTATTAGTGTGTTCTTATGTGTCTTGTCATGGTGCAAAGTTGGCGGTTACCTGGTGGGTAACCAGGTAGAGGAAGGTGCGTAGCACCTTGTAGCCCTGGGGTGTGATTAGTGGCAGGAGCCTGATTCACAAGCTCCTACAGATCTAAGTGAATGTTTTTAAGCATATTCTTTTTTAAAATCCTTGCTGTTTATCTATTTTATATATGGTACTGTGCATCTGTTAATCCCATACTCCCAATTTATCCCTCTCCCCGCTTCCCCTTTGGTAACCAAAAGTTTGTTTTTCATGTAAACTGATTCTTCCATGAACGTTAGAAACCCTAGTTGTCTTTTCTAACTATTTTTTTTAAAAGCCTTGTAGGAATTATCTTTGCATTTCTGTCCTATTTAAATGAGCCAACAGACACACATTTCACTGTCTGTGGCCTTTCCCGTATATTTTATCCTTTCAAAAAAGTCAAAAACTTTTTGATTGATGAATCTCCATTAATATTCCATGATATTGCAATATAACCAGCCATATCCCTTTCCTTCCCTGACTTTCTCACCCTCAGTTTCTCCTTCCAAACCCCTACCTGTCCTCAAACTACTGGGATAAATGAGTACACGTTTTTATACTCTGGGCCTAGGCAGCTCCTAGACCTGATACCAAGACAGCTTAAGGATGGGTGGGTTCCTCCCCTTTCCCACATTCTCCTCCCCTGACTAAGGTTCTGAAATAACTAAGATGCCTAGCTTAATCCTTGAGAATTCTGTTCTTCTACTCTTCCTCAGCTCTTCTTGGCCTCTTCTTATGTACTACTTGTGGAACTGATGACCTAAATTGAGAGATAATTCTCTTGTATATATAAATTTGTGTTGTATTACTAGGGTTGGCTAATTGCTGTGATCAACAGACCTCAAAATAAACAGTTGCTTGAGCATTTTTTTTTCTCACGTAAGACATGGGTGAACAGGTTTGAGAGGAGACCCCCTCCACTCAGATATTCAGGCACCAAAAACTGTTAGCAGTGCTACCACCTTCAATACACAAACGACTTCCAACTTTGTGCTGGGGTTTGCCTCTATTCCAGACAGCCAGAAGGAGGAGGAAAATGTATGGGGGTGTATGCGTAGGAAACTTATTATTAGTTCATCCTGGAAGTGGTGTGTATCACTTCCTCATTCCATTGGTCAAAACTCAACCACATGGCCAGCCTTAGCAGTAAGGGAGGCTAGGAAATGTAGTCAGGTTGTATGACTAGAAGAGGAGAACTTCCATTTTGATGGATATTTAGCAGTCTCTGCTACAATGGAATTATGTCCAGGTGATGCTACCCTAAAGAGACATTTTAGGATAAGCCATAGGCATCACCCTAAGAACAAGTGTCATGAGTTGAAGATGAGTTAAGTAAATCTTCAAAACCAGTCTGTTATTGGTGGTCCATCCTCAGTTGTTCTATGGAGAATAAAGGAAGGGATCCTGTATTTATGCCTGGGTCAAAGTGATAAAGTGGGAGAGGATCACCCCCCTCAGTAGGTGGCAGAGTCACAGTGGTGACAAAGAAAGAACCCCCATGAAAAGGTGACTCAGTGCTAGAGTCCAGGGTTCTTAGTTTTGTTGGATTTCCCATCCAGTAGATCTTCCTCCTTTTGCCCCTCAAGGAGGTTCATATATTTTTTTATTAAATACGACCATAACTACCTACAGGAATTCCAATCCAGTTCAGCCAATGTGTGGAATTTACAGTATTGATAGTAGAAAAATGCCATTTAGCCTGGTAACTTGGAACTTGTCTTGTTTGTATAGTTAATCACTTGGGAGTTATCCACCATTCTTCACAGGCCCCTACTTGTATGCCTCTGACAGTCCTGTGGCCCTGTCATTATGATTGTGGCATGAGTGGGGCAGTGATCGTTGGCACAAAGGCCACGCGTGGTGGTTAGCAACCCAGCCAGCTTAGTGCTTGGCATTGGCAGGTAAGAAGCAACTGTTGGAACACAATGCAGGGCTGCCAGCCTACTTGGTCTGAAGCTCCTTATTTGCTTATTATCATGGTGCTTCTTTTTCACTGCTTTCTCCCACGGTCTGCTCTCAGCTAAGGATATTCAGAAGTCTTAACTAAACTTCTGGCAATACTCTTCTTTTTGCACTTTTGACTGATGGCTTCATAAAGCCCCAGACAATGGGGCAGCTTCCAGCCTCTGTGACTTCATTAGTCTCCTTGTCTATTCTGGGCAAGATAAGCAATCCTAGACAAATGGAAAACCCGCTTGTCTCAGCTGCTGAAGCCTTGTGTTTCTCAGGGTTATGTTTGTCACTTAACTTTCAGCTCTTCCTTTCCCAGCTCAAGCTTCTGACCTTGTTCAAGTGCCATGTTGTACCTAAGTAATTATTTGAAGTGATGTTGGCATCTCTTTAACTTCTAATTCCTTTTTTGATTCCCCCCCCTCACTGGATACCATTTATTTTTACCAGACCATTTGTGTCTCCTTTGATGCCCATGCCCTAAATGCTTGATAAATTGGATCTTAGCATCAGCCTAAAGTATTAGTGGGAAGCAGAGGGATGACAAAGAAGGAAGCAGAAGGGGAGCAGGGTGCAAGGGTCTGGTGCAGTGTAAGTCTGGCCTTGCTGAGCTATTTGATTGTGAATACTGGAGTAAGGGGATCAAAATCCCACAAATTACATGGGGAAAGGACAAAGGAACAGAAATTCATCACTGGTAAGCAGAATGGGGCAGTTGTTACGGTAAGGACTGGGAAACAATTCCAATATTCATGCCTGACATACATGAGGGGAGGAACTGGGATGATGGGGTGGATTTTTAAGGAAAAAGCAACTTATTAAGACAGAGGATTCGTCTAGGTCCATCTATCACAGTCTCTTAGAGCTAAAAAGAGATGCCAGAAATACAGACCAGAACTGACAGCACTTCTTACCTTCTGTGGAAGGTACAAACCAAGTATAAAGGTGTGTGTGTGTGTGTGTGTGTGTGTATGTGTGTGTGTAGGGAGAGGGTCTGTTTCTGCTTTCAGAATTCCAAAGGGTCCATGACTCATAAATGGTTAAGAGTTATGGATTAGCAGCTCTGTGTATGCTGAGAGTATACGAGGGCAGTGAGATGACTAGGAGAGAGAGCCCTGGAGGGTGAAGGGCCTAATATGACACCGGTGTGGAGTGAGGTGTTGTAGGGGAGGGATATTCCACAGCCCTACAGTGAAGTCTGAGTGTCACGCTTTAAATGTTCAGATAGGAAATTAGGGCCCCATACTGTGGAATCTGAGAGGACATTTATCTCCATGTCAAAGTACACGAAGCAGAAAAAAATGAAATCACAGGTTCATATTCCACAAACCTAGTTTTACATTTTTCAAACTATGAATGCAGCCTTGCAATAGCATTTTGTTTTGATTTTCTACTCTACCGCGTCCGCAAACTCACCTTTTGTTCTACCTAGGACACTTTTAGTCATCCCCCAATAAAAGTCTAGGCTAGTACCCAAAGGCACAATAAATAATGATAGTTCTACTTTGATGAAGGCACTAACACCTATTTGGATTGTGCTAGCAAAACTGCTGAGTTCTTGAGAAGACTCGACACACAGTCGCCACACAGAGGTACCTGTCCAGTGGCTGTTTGTGACCCACAATCTTCAGCTTGGGTAAGTGGAACGTCATTCAGGGTGCCATCTGGCACTTTGTAAAGTGGATGAAGATTAAGGCCAGAGAGTGACCTGTACAGCATAGAATTTTGGAAGTAAAGGCAGGTGATCTGAGCTGAAACTTTGACCTCAACTATTGTCTCAGCTGTAAAACAATGCTTGTACTTGTTGCCAACATTACGGACTGAGCATCAGCCTCTGAAAAACCTTTGGTCTCACCCAGTCATCCGTCCATCTATCCATCCCTCAAATCTTTATGTTTATATAAGGTCTACCAAGCACGTACAGTTTCTGCCTGGAAGGACCTTAGTCAGGTGAAGGAGAGAACCAGGTGTAAAGCAGAGTGGTGAGTGTAGAGCATGTAGCAGTTGGAAAGCTGAAGCTTAAAAGATGAGTCAGAAGAGAGTCATTCCAGGTGTCAGAAATTAGAAGCAAGAATTAAGGTATAATGGCCAGAAAAAGCATGGCTGTGTTAGGGGTGAGTTTTGTGTAGCCACAGTCTAGAAGGGCAAGCTAGAAGGCTGGAGAAGAAATCAGTAGCCATGAGGAGAGTTTCTCACTTGCGGGAGTCTGGGATGGTTCATTGTGTGGGCTGTCTTGGGTAGTGCAGGATTTGTAGCATCCCTGACCCCGGGTACAAGATGCTGTCAGCAACTCCCGGACACTGAGGTTCCAGAGATGCCCCACACAGGAAGCTCATGGTGCTTCTGGTAGAACACCACTGCAGACATGTATATGCCACATTGGAAAACTTGAACCTCATTCTGTCAGTACTGAAGGTACTGAAAAGTTTTGAACAGGAAAGCCTCAAGGTCAGATTTGCATTTTCGCTGGATCACTGGTAACCAGGTGAAGGATGGGTCTGAAGTAATAGAGAGGTCTCTGAGGCTTCTATATTAGCCTCGGCAAGCAATGATGAAGACTTGAAGGAAGGTGGTGGGTGAGAGGATGGAGATGAGAATGCAGGTCAGAGAACCACTTAGGAGGTGAACGAGGCAGGGCTTGGTTACTGACTGACCAACTGGGGGCAAGGAAGTAGTGTCATTAAGGATGACCATTGGAAAGCCTTGTAGTTGAAAGAAAAGATTGGTTTAAGTTTTAAAAAGTCTTAGCTTTTCAGGGTATGGGCAGGTAAATGAGAGGTTGTTAGAGACATCTGATCTTCCTCTCCACCCAGGGCCTTTTCTCTTTAGTGACCACATTTTAAAATGTCAGGAAGACATTAGGACACTCCTTGGGAAAAAGTCATTCTCCTCTTACCTACAAACCTCTAAATGCTTCTTCTTTTTTCCGTGCTTCTAAGGCGGTGTTCCAAAGTCCAAATTTACTAGTGTGGGCTCCACAAGTCACATCAAATCCATCATCCCTCTCCCCTCATTGCAGGGCGCTGGAGGAAGGAGTTGAGAAGCTGTAGGTAGTAGAATTAAACCCCGTGTAGAGACGCTCCATGACATCTGTCTGGATAGCCTTTTCATGATGGGGGAGGGGAGGGAAAGCAGGGGTTGGCTAGCTTTACCACCTGGGTGTTTGGCTGGCAGGATGGTCTTGATTTCTGTTTGAGGGCTTCTTGAATTCTGTGGTTGAAACACCTGTGTGCTTGCTCTATTGATTTTGGCTCGTTTCTTCAATTTAACAAGATCATCCTAGAATTTTAATAGTGTCTTCCAAGGCATTAGTAATCTCTCCCAGAGCTGCATTTTCTGTGGATTGATTAGTGCCTTAGTCATAAGATCCTCAGAGCTATTAATAGGAAATATGGAGCAGTATTGGCTCCTTACCAACAGCATTCAGTAGCTGCTCCCGTTTTGACACCAAACTATGAATAATTTGTGGGTGTTCAATATATTTAACTGACTTTTTACCCATATCGTATTCTTCTCATACTGTCTAATCCATATGCATAGAAGTCCTCAGAGGATGCACTGCAGAACCATTTCTTAATGCTTTAGGAAAATCAAGTATGTACACGACACTTCCGCGAAGTTAAAAGAAGACACCTGCAGTTTGCCTTAACTGTGGTCAGTGCACAGAAGGCGAGCACTGCATGGTCTCCATCTAGGTGGGGCCTGAGGAGCCGCACTGTCTCAAGTGTTTTTAAACACAATTTAAATTTTACTATCTAATGCAACTTTCCTGAGAAAATTGGTCTTCTTACACTTATTTAAATGTGGGGCTGCCATGGCAGATGGGAATTTAATAAATGCCATATGACGATGTCAGTGAAAAAGACAAGAAGAAAATTCCTGTGGGTGTCACACAGGAGAACTTCAGACAAGAAGAACTTACAGTGTCCACTCACACATGGATGGATATAGTTCTCTGTACTGGGGGTGGGTGTGGAAGCAGAAGTACCAGCATCATCATACCCTCCCCAGTCCTGATCACTGAATGTTTCCAGTTGTACAATTAATGTACAACCCGTCTCTGGTTTGCTTCCTCCTGCCTCTTCTACAGGGACTAGTAATTTTTAAAAAAACCTCATCCTGTTGTTCCACTGCCCAGTGGCTCCCTATATCTTCAGGGATCAAGTCAAAATGCCTTAGCTTAAGCACAAAGCCCTCTCTGCCCTCTGTCCCCCTGTGCCTCCATTCTCCCCTACCTCCCACAACTCACCTCTCTGCGGTCCTGCAGTCTAGGTCTCTGCTGCTCCAAGTGTGCTCCAGGGACCAGCAGTATAAGCATCACCTGGGAGCTCCAGACCTGAATCAGCCTGCATTTTTTTTTCAAAAATTCACCAAAAATTTTTTTAGTCAATTTTTATTTATTTTTGCTGTGTTGGGTCTTCGTTTCTGTGCGAGGGCTTTCTCTAGTTGTGGCAAGCGGGGGCCACTCTTCATTGCAGTGCGCGGGCCTCTCACTATCGCGGCCTCTCCTGTTGCGGAGCACAGGCTCCAGACGCGCAGGCTCAGTAGTTGTGGCTCACGGGCCTAGTTGCTCTGCGGCATGTGGGATCTTCCCAGACCAGGGCTCGAACCCATGTCCCCTGCATTGGCAGGCAGATTCCCAACCACTGCGCCACCAGGGAAGCCCTAGCCTGCATTTTAACACGGTCCACGGGTGATTTGTGTGCACCTTAATGTTTGAGGAGCACTGCTCTCTAATTCCCGCCTGTCTGGCCATATCCTCTCACTTCCACTATTCTGAACACTCAGTGCAGTTTGCTTTAATTTTTTACCCATGTGTCACGTGACCTTTAAAAAGTCAACACTGAAAGGCATACGTCCCTTGCATCCCTTCAATCCTACCTCCATTTCAATTCTTTAAACTCCTTGTATTACTTTTCCATTGCTGCTGTAATGATTTTTTGCCAATTTAGTGGCTTAAAACAACACACATGTATTCTCTCGTAGTTCTGGAGGTCAGAAGTCAGACATGAGGATGAAGGGACTGAGGTCAGGGTGTCAGTAGGGCTGGTTCCTTCTGGAGGCTCGAGGGGAAATCAGTTCCTTGCCTCTTCCAGCGTCTCTGGGCTGCTACCATTCTTTGGCTCCTGGGCACGTGGATCACTTTAATCTTGACGTTTCATCCTCACCTCACCTTCTCTCCACATTGACCTTCTCGCCTTCCTCTCATAATGACCATTGTGATTATATATTGGTTCCACCTGGATCACACAGGCCCATATCCTGGTCTCCAGATCCTCAATTTCTGCAGAGTCCCTTTTGCCATATAAAGTATAACATTGACAACTTCCAGGGATTGGGACGCGGACATCTTTGGGGGCCCCTGTTCATCCCGCGACATTCCCTTAGCTGTGTCTTTTGTTATTTGGCTCTAAATATCTGTTAACGTGTGTATTGCTGTCTCTTGATTAATCAGTGTTAGATCTTATTCATTTCTTTCCCCCGGTCTCCCCATATAATCATTCAGTATTTCAAGGCTTTGCTTTATTATGACTCTGAAAATATTTTCTCACTGCCAAGCCAGTTATACTCTACATTTTTTTCCTTTCAGAACTTTGAAAAAATTTCATTTTATTTTTGCATTTTCTTAGTTTCCTTTGAACATCTGATGGCCTTCCTTTAGCTTTTGTGACTGTTCTACAAAGTGCCTCTTGATGAAAATTTCCACACAATTTTCCACTTTGTGCCTGTCAGAGAACTTGTCAATTTCGGGTTTCTTTCCCTTCTGGAAATGTCCGTCCTCTCTTCCTCCTCCCTCCTGACTTAATCTGTGCTGGTTGTTCTTTTAAGCCTCCTACACAGCTGTGGTTCTGGGACTATCCTTTCACGGAATGATTCCCAACCTCATCTGCACATTGGAATCACCGGGGGGGCGGGAGCTTTAAAGTTCCCTGATGCCTGGGTCAGAACCCCCTGAGCTCCTGCTGTATTGTGGCCTGGGCTTTAGGCTTTTAAAGCTCCCCAGGTAATTCTACTCTGCAGCCAAGGATGAGAATCACTGCTGTAACATCATCTGGGGAGTTGCTCTTGTTGCTTTTCTGTGTTGGGTTCCCTGATTTCTGGTTCTCTATTTTTCAAATTTATTTCTTTGTTTAGGTGGAGCATATTATTTAGTAGCTTGCCAAGAGAAGATGTATGTTCAAGCCCTTGCACGTCTGAAACTGTCTTTATTCAGCCCTCACACCTAGCTTGCAATTTTCTGTTAAGTATTTCAAATTGCAAATAATTTTCCTTTAGCGTTTTGAAGGCATTGCTAACTTTGAGTTATTTGTTCCTGAGAAACCCAAGGCCATCTGAATTTCAGTTCTTACATGAGGTCTTTTCTGTGCTTCCCCTGGAAGTAATTTAATACCTCCTTTTTTCTGATATTCTGTAATTTCATATTGTGCCTTAGTGGGACGGTCATTTTTATTCATTTTAAGTCTGGAAACTTATCTCTAGTTTTAGATGATTTTCTTGTGTTATTTCTTCGATTTATTTCCCTTCATTTTCTCTTTATGGGATTCTTATTATTCAAATCTTAGGCCTCCTTGATTTATCTTCTTCTTTTTTGTAAAAGTTTTTTCTCCTCTAATTTACCTTTGACTACTTTTTTCC